ATTCTTAGGGTAAATTCCTAGGAGTGGAATTCCTGGGTCAAATGGTATTCCTATTTTGAGTTTTTTGAGGAACCTCCATATTGCTTTCCACAATGGTTGAACTAGCTTACATTCCCACCAGCAGTGTAGGAGGGATCCCCTTTCTCCACATCCTTGCCAGCATTTGCTATTCTTAGTCTTTTTGATACTGGCCATCCTAACTGGTGTGAGGTGATATCCATTGTGGTTTTTATTTGCATTACCCTGATAATTAGTGATGTGGAGCATCTTTTTATGTGCTTGTTGGCCATCTGAATTTCTTCTTTGGAGAATTGTCTGTTCATATTTTCTGCCCATTTTTTAATCAGGTTATTTGCTTCCCAATTTTTTTCCCAAGAAAAAGTTGCTCATGTTTATATTCAGGAGATTTTTGCCTATGTTGTCTTCTAAGAGTTTTATGGTTTCATGACTTGTATTCAGGTCTTTGATCCATTTTGAGTTTACTTTTGTGTATGGGGATAGACAATAGTCCAGTTTCATTCCCTTGCATGTAGCTGTCCAGTTTTGCCAACACCAGTAGTTGAAGAGGCTCCTTTATCATATATTAATTGACCATATATGCTTGGGTTTATATCTGGGCTCTCTAGTCTGTTCCATTGGTCTATGGGTCTGTTCTTGTGCCAGTACCAAATGTCTTGATTACTGTGGCTTTGTAGTAGAGCTTGAAGTCAGGGAGTATAATCTCCCCAGCTTTATCCTTCTTTCTCAGGATTGCTTTGGCTATTTGGGGTCTTTTGTAGTTCCATATGAATTTTAGAACTATTTGCTCTAGTTTGTTGAAGAATGCTCTTGGTATTTTGATAAGGATTACATTGAATCTGTAGATTTAGGCAGGATGGCCATTTTGACAATATTAATTCTTCCTATCCATTAGTATGGGATGTGTTTCCATTTATTGGTATCTTCTTTAATTTCTCTCATGAGTGTCTTGTAGTTTTCAGAGTGTAGGTCTTTCACTTCCTTCATTAGGTTTATTCCTAGGTATTTTATTCTTTTTGATGCAACTGTGAATGGGATTGTTTTCCTGATTTCTCTGCTAGTTCTTCAGTGTATAGTGTGTAGGAATGCAACACAGAATGCAACACAGTTCTGTATATTAATTTCATATCCTGCAACTTTGCTGAATTCAGATACTAGATCTAGTAGTTTTGGAGTAGATTCTTTAAGGCTTTTTATGTACAATATCATGTCTTCTGCAAACAGTGACAGTTTAACTTCTTCTTTACCAATCTGGATGCCTTTTATTTCTTTGTGTTGTCTGACTGCTGTGGCTAGGACCTCCAGAACTACATTGAATAAAAGTGTAGAGAGTGGGCATCCTTGCCTTGTTCCTGATCTTACAGGAAAGGTTTTCAGCTTCTTGCTGTTAAGTATGATTTTGGCTGTGGGTTTGTCATATATGGCCTTCATTATGTTGAAGTACTTGCCCTTTATACCCATTTTGTTGAGAGTTTTTATCATGAATTGGTGTTGAATTTTGTTGAATGCTTTTTCAGCAACTATGGAGATGATCATGTAGTTTTTGTCCTTTTTGTTGATGTGGTGGATGATGTTGATGGATTTTCTAATATTGTAGCATCCTTACATCCCTGGAATAAATCCTACTTGATCATGATGGACGATCTTTTTGATGTATTTTTGAATTCAGTTTGCTACTGTTTTGTTGAGTATTTTTGCATCTATGTTCATCAGGGATATTGATCTGTAATTTCATTTTTTTGTGGTGCCTTTTCCTAGTTTTGGTATTAGGGTGATGCTGGCTTCATAGAATCAGTTTGGAAGTATTCCCTCCTCTTTTACTTTTTGGAAAACTTTAAGGAGAATGGGTATTAGGTTTTGACCAAATGTTTGATAAAATTTAGCAGTGAAGCCATCTGATTCAGTGGTTTTGTTCTTAGGTAGATTTTTTGATTACCAATTTAATTTATTGCTCATAATTGGTCTGTTCAGATTTTCTGTTTCTTTCTGGGTTGGCCTTGGAAGGTAGTATTTTTCTAGAAAGTTGTCCATTTCTTCTAGGTTATCCAGTTTGTTAGCATGTAATTTTTCATAGTATACTCTCATAATTCTTTGTATTTCTGTGGTGTCTATAGTGATTTTTCATTTCTCATTTCTGATTCTGTTATATTTTTTTCTTGATAGGTCTGGCTAGGAGTTTATCTATTTTGTTTATTTTCTCAAAGAACCAGCTCCTTAAGCTCAGAGATTTAAACCTGAAACTTCTAAAAGATTTATGTTTCTGGTATTTATATAGCAGAAAATCTGCATTTCTGCCATTCTTTGACAAATTAGATGTGGCAACGCTGGGTATTTCCCTTGAGGCAGAAGCCTGCGGAATGAAGCAGGAGCAACTGTCCCTTAGTGAGGGTGGAGCCTCTCTAGGCCTTCTTGGTGTACCTCTTTCTGTGTCACCTGCCTGGCATGTTTATTTGTGTCTTTACATTTAAACTGTGTTTCATGCAGAAAGCATAATTGGACCTTGCTTCATTATTCAGTTTGACAATCTCTGCCTTTTATCTGAAGTGTGTAGGTCATTTATATGCAATTGTCCATATGGTTAGGTTTAAGTCCACCATCTTACTATCTGTCTTTATTCCCCCTGTTCTTTCTTCCTTTTTTCCTCTTCTCCTGTCTTCTTTTGAATTTTTTTTTGCATTTGCATATAAAATGATGTATGGCTGTTTTCTTAATAGCTATGCATCAATATTTTTCTGCTTACTCACATATAATAAACATCTTTAAAATATAATATTCTCACTTCAAGTAATACTATTTCTATTCATGTACTATAGTTACTTATGTGTAAAACTATACTTGTTCATGTATAGTAATAAATGCATAGGAACCTTTTAACTATATATCCATTTTCTTCACTTACCTTGTCCTAGTGTTTTCATACATTTCACTTCCACATATTCTAATCCCTATAACATGCTATTATTTATGCTTTAAATAGTCAATTATAATCCACAGGTAACATTATTCTCAATGAAAAACAGGAAAAGCTTGTCCACTTTCACCATTGCTATTCAAAAACATTATATTGGTAGTTCTAGCTAAAGGATTTAAACATGAAAAGGAAATAAAAGACATACAAATTGGAGAGGAAGAAGAAAATTATCTCTGCAAATGACATAATCTTATATATAGAAAATCCTAAAGATTCCACATCAAAAACTGTTAGATCTAACAAAAGTCAGCAAAGTTGCAGGATACAGAATCAACACACAAAAATCAGTTGTATTTCTATATACTAACAAAGAAAAATCTGAAAAGACAGTTAACAATTTCATTTACAATAACATCAAAAAGAAGAAACACAAAGGAGTAAATTTAACCAAAGAGGTAAAAGAGTTGTACACTGAAAACCATAACACATTGCTGACAGAAATTAAAGATGACATAAATAAATGGAAAGACATCCTATGTGCATGGATTGGAAGACAATATCATCAAGATGACAACACTACCCAAAGCAATGCACAAATTCAGTACAATCCCTATCAACATTCAAAAGACATTTCCAGAAATAGAAAAAAAAAACCATCCTTAAAATTCATATGGAATCTCAAACATCTCTGAATGACCAAAACAATCTTGGAAGACTTGCATTTCTTGAGTTCAAAGCTTACTACAAAGCTACAGTGATCTAAACAGTGTGCTACTGGCATAAGGACATATACACAAATGTAATAGAGAGCTCAGAAATAAATTTGGCATATATGGCCAACTGACTTTTGATATGGGTGTCAAGACCACTCAATAGGAAAAGGACAGTGTTTCAACAAATAGTGCTGAGAAAACTAGATATCCATACAATAAAACGTCATATCCAACTTTCATTGAAGTTGGGATCTTATCTTATAAATGTAAAAACATTAAGTTAAACTGGATTAAAGACCTAAATGTAAGAGCTAAAACTATATAACTCTTAGAAGAAAATGGGCAAAGCTTTGTGACATGGATTTTGATTTTTGGGATTCAACATTAAAAGCTAGGCAACAAAAGAAAACATAGATAAATTGGACTTCAAAATTAAAAACTTTTGTACATCAGAGGATCCCATCAAGAGAGTGAAAAGACAGTCCAGTCTGTGGAATAGGAGGAAATATTTGAAAATCCTATATCTGATGAAATTAATATTAATATAAATAGAATTGAACCTCTGGCCCTAATTTCCAATTCATAGAAAGACAAGTGATAGAGGAAAAAGTTAAATATTAGTATGACTAAAAAATATTGGGAAAATATGTATCTATTTTATATCACACAATAGTAAGTGTGATAATAGTACTGTGGCTATGCAGCAAAATATACTTAAGCTTAAGAAATGCATATGGACATAGTTAAGGGTAGAATGTTGTGATGTTTGAAACTTACTCCTAAATAGTTCAGCCAAAAAAAGGAAAACATGACAATACTAACAACTGTCAAATTTCAGTGGAAGATAATGATCATTGTATTATTACCTCCTCTTATTTTTTGAAAATTTTCTCTTTCAAAATTTTTAATTTTGCAAACTTGCAAAATCAAAAGTTTAGGGTAAAAAAGCTGTAGTTACTAAATTGTGCAACTTAAAATGGTGAATTTTTTTATTATGGGAATTTTATCTGGAAGGAAAGAAAAAGAAAGAGCTGTGAGTAATGAACGGGATCTATTGTAAGACTACTTGTACTGGCCTATGCAGCTCCATTCTCATGAGATGAACAGCATCCTCTAGAGTTACGGCCAGGACATTGGGCATAGTGGTGTTTTCCTACTGGGACATTTAGAAGAAAATACAGTATCTTTATGTGGAATTAAAATACATTTTATGACAAAATTATTTTTATATAATTTAATTTGCATTAATTTTAGGGTGCATAGGAGGAAACAAGGCATGATGGCTTGAACCAAAAATCAAGGATACTTAACTGATAGTTAACGGTGAAATGTCAAAGCAAAACAAACCCACCACACACCTGGGTTGATGGAAGGAGGAGGCGGAGGTGGGAGAGGCCGGCCTTCTTTAATGGCTAGAGTGCACTGCTTTGCTGATCGAATTGCATTAATGAAGTCTTCATGTTGTTGTCTCCAGTTTGATTTCTTCACAGGTTGGGGCTATTCAAAAAACCAAAACCAATATATAGTAATTTAGACTGTACATCTCTGCACTGCATTTTTTTTTCAAGCTGGGATTGGAATTTACAGGAACCAGGACTGTGAAATTTAGAAAGGAAGGAGAATTTGTTTTTCAAAAGTACTAAGGAAGTTCGGAAAATGCAGTCATAAAACTTGCAAGTCACAATAGCGAGGAAAAACACAAAATAACAATCAGAAAAACAAAGAAACTACAAAACTTGATAGGAAGACTTAAATGTAAGATTAAAAATAACTGTCTTCCAAGTTAATTGGTAGATTTAATGCTCCTCTAATGAAAATATAAACGAGATTCTTTTTTGCCACATCTGGAAAGTATCTGAAATACATTTGGAAATCGAAGTGAGCATGATTAAAAAGAAAACAGCAAAGGTGGATTATACTTACATGACATTATACTGCACTATCAAGCAAAAATGAGACCAGAGAGCCAAAAAGAGGCTTTATTGTACTTTGGGATATAATCAAGAACAATAAGAAAAATATCGATAGTACCTTGGATTGAGGAGGCTTCCTCAAAATCGGAATGTCGGTGCCCTGTAATCTTTGTTTCAAGGAATTGAAAGGCTTATGCTTCTTGTTGAAGAGTTTTCTACATATTGGTCCATGCCTTTCCTAGAAAAGAAAGAGTGGGGATTAAAATTGTTAACATATACCATCACAGTTTGTAATGCCTTAGTGTACTCAGGCAGCCCCACTACAGTGACTGGGTTGCACCTTCAGAGCCAAGTTCATTCTCTAACTCTCAAATCACAGCAGAGCAAATCCATCTGGCTCTCTCCACCCATGTTACACATAACTAGATCCTGTGTCTGGGCAAGGTCAATAAAAGGCTCTACAACGAAGAGATGACCCTCAAATTTAGTTTTACATATTTAACTCTACCACTGGGTTGTATGGATGGTTCCAAGCAATAAATAATGTAAAAAGACAAAATTTCCAGTTTAAATTGAAATGAATATTTCTGATATTAAGCCAGGTGCTCACTGAAGCCAATGAAGTTTTCTTGATTATTTTTGTGTTCTGTTAACTGGCTTCATCGTTCCTAAATTCCAAAAGTAAGTTATCCAGAATATAACAGGAAATCTGAGTACACACAATCTTAATATTCAGTATTACTACCCTTGTGAAATAGCCCTTTGTATAAAGGAAAAAGAAACTTAGCTTCCTATCAGTGAAGCCTTCTCAGGAAAAATCTTTTTACCACTCAGCACTTCAAACTTGAATTTAACAGGGTCATTTTTCTACTATAGCAAATTAAACCACTTAACTCCTGAAAAGGAGTGGAGAAATTTCAAAGAAATATTTCAGACCATCTGCAAAGAACAATTGGGACAACCATCTCATAAATGAATAATACACCGATTCCATTTAAATTATGGAGATATTTTCCTTTAATTTGTCCAAACATTTCACACTCATAAAGTCATTTATTTCAGAGAAAATCTAAGCTTATATTAGATTTTAAAATATTACAATATTTACAAGGCAACCGGCAGGGGAAACTTTCTTTAGTCCAGCCAGTAGTCTTAAGTACTCAGCATTTCTGGCACAGAAACCAGGGAACAACATATAGAGCTTTGCTTCTGTACCACCTTCATAAAGTCAATTACTGCACCACTATGGGATTATAGCAATATCCTTGCCTTCAACTCTAAATCCTCTTTCTTGCTGGATATGGAACTCATAATAGCTGTCATTTACATAGTTGCTTAGATCCAACAAAATGCAGGCTCTATGAATATCACTACACCTACACCTGCTTACAAACAAGCCATACCATTTTAAACTAAAGGAGAGGACACGTGAGATTATTTGGTCAAATGCTCTTTGTAGCCTAGAGATAGGCCTAGGAAGTATAACTCAAGAAGACTCAAGATAAACTTGACATTTAGTGATCTCTCTTCAAATGGTATCTCGAATCCATTCTCATGGGGTACAGGCCTGGGTTGGCAAACGCAGCATACTGGTGGATTACTGGGACACAACCAGCCCTGGGAGCTCCCCTTCTAGATTCAGGAAGCTGTAGCAACAGTTAATTAGAATACTTCATTTTTAAAATTCTGCAGAGAAATAAAACTTACGACCTCATTTGGTAGTCTTTTCCACCAAATGTAGTCAGGCTTATAGTCCCAATCCTTTAAGTTTGATATAAGTCTCCTTGTCTCAGCTAACAATTCCATTATCATTTTAGATTTTTAAAAAAAATAAATCATGTTTCTTGGGAATCCCTTTATAATGTCAGGGCCTAATACCTATTTGATTTTTAAATAAATCAAGCTTTTCTTCTTTTTAGGAATTGGTCAGGAATATACAGTTAGCTTGACTCTGATTAACAATTTGATCTTGAAATGCCTTTCATCCATTTTGTACAAATTACATAAAACCCTGAAATTGGAGGGTTCTGTCTTTCTACGTGGCAAAGCAGGAAACAGAGAGAGGTTAAAGGACTTGTCAGAATTAGTGACAAATTTGAGGCTAAAAGCCAAGTTTCCAGATGCTCCAAATTCAATGTTCATTCCTCTTGACTAGCTAATTTCCCTGGTGCTTTGGCCTTAAAATTTGAATTTTTGATGCTTATAGAAAAGGCGAAAGAGCCAAAGCCTCTCAAGAGACAACCGGCTGTGCCAAGACGCTTTCATCTGGCACCCTTTTCAGTAGGGGACCATGTTCAGTGAGTTCCCTTCAAATGGTGCAGGATCGATCTGCCTCAGTGCCCTCAGGGGCTGCCAGCCATAGGTCGGGGACTTCTCTTCCCTTCTTTCCCTTCACATCTGTCTTTAATCTTTGCCACTGCAGCCGCCTCAATGACTTGACAGTTCATTTAACTCCAATGAAACACATCTACAAAATGTCTTTATGTTTACCAGAACATCTGCTGCAAAGCATCTTCCGCAGACTTCACAGGGAAATAATTCCTGATTGCCATCTGTATAAGATCCAAGAGCACATTATGTTAGTTTCATGGAACTGCCTGCCTGAGATGAAGTGACTGGCTGGAGGAGACCTCGAGAGCTTGATATCCTCACTCTCTGGTCCCTCCCCACCACTTCTTCCTTTTTTTAGGAAGACACTTCATAAACTCCTAGTTTCTTCTCCTAGTATAGACTTTTCACTTCACAAAACAGGTATATTCCATGTCTTTCAGAGTATGCTTATTTAATTATAATTATTTATTATAATCACTTAACATTTAGTTATTTAATGTGTATAATTAATGAGTATAATTATTCAATGTTTAAGGTATTCTTAAACTAAGTGCCAATAGCTTTGCTTTAAAAGTAAGTACATATTTATGACTTAGTATAAAGTCATATATACCATATGAAAAGGGTCACCTAATCATTGAATTTGAGATAAATTTTACTGAGAATTGTTTTCTCTCCTGATAAACTCTCTTTTTGCTGGGAAAACTACCTGGCAGCAAGTAGAAGAAACTGAAGAAATGGGCCCAGCAGAACTGGTGGACACACATACTTTAAATGAAGATTTGAAAGTGTCACGAGAAAAGGAAAACATTATAAAATTCTGAAAAAAAAAGTTTCATTTCATATTCTTTCCTTTCAGTCCATTTAGAGTTGAGTATAAAAAGATGTTAAAAGCAGTTTGCTCACGGATCTTTTATGTTAGACGGACACTCTGGGCTTTATTCTACAAACAAGGAAAACAATCAATGTCACTGAGTATGAAGAATCTGAACATAGCTGTGGAAGATGTGTGTGATAAAGGTGAGGAGGCATGAATGGGTGGTGGTTGGAAAGGAATACGTTCAAGAGTTAAAGCTGTGTACCCGCAATGCAAAGGAGAGAGGAAGCAGGAGAGACTGTTGATAAAGAATCAACATACATGACGAGATTTGGGGGGTGCTGGGAGGTGGCAGAGAGGAGGACTGAGTATGCTGAAATCCTTCAAATGCTGAGGGGCTAAGACAGTAGGGCTGTGGACAGAAATAGAAAATTTGAAAGAAGGGCCATCTTTGTAAGAAAAATGACCTCAGCTTTGGAAATACTGAGTTTGAGAAAGATTCATCCAGCCAGCAGGATGGAAATGTGGGAGGTCAGGGCTAGAGACGCAGATGCAGGCTTTGTTTGGAGAGTGATGTAAAGGCATAATATTGCCAGGGAAGAGGTCACGGAAAGAGAAGTACAGGGATGCTCCCTAGGGAACTCCATATTTAAGGGCCAAGGAGATGATGATGATAAGCCAGAAGGAGAAGCAGGAGAGAACAAGGTCATGGAAACCCAGGGAAGACAGTTAGAACAAGGCAGCCCTGATTAACGGGAATCAGATGGTAGCTCATTACAGACATTGTTGATCTAAACGATTTGTTCTCACATCTGTCAGACGGTATTGTATTTGCAACACAGGTCATCTTTACAGCATACAGAAATACCACCCTTCCTCTATGTTCTTTAGGCTTTTTAACTCTTTAAAACTGGGTCTTATTACTATTTTTTTAAAGGATATCCCACCCTTCCACATACTAACTTGTTAATAAAAACTATTCATCTTAGTTATAAAACTTTTTTCTAAAACACTAATGATTTTTACAACTCTTTCTGTAACACTTAATGTTTTCTGTTCTCCAAACACTTTTCTTATGTAATCTCATCTACTACTCACAGCAATCCTGTGAGACAGACTTGGTGCTATGCTCTTTTTTTTACAGTTAAGAAAATGGACAGATGTTCAAGGTTGGGGGACCTCTTGAAAAATCACAGGTAGTAAGTGATAACAGTGAGACTCAAACCTGAGTCTCTATCTCTACAAATATTAAGACTATTTTTCCACTCATCATCATAAATACAGACATATTTTGTCAGTACTAACTGCAAAGCAAATGGAATTCCTGGGAGGTTCAATGGTCTTTGGCTTAAATCAGTGTGTTAATGAGTTCAATGAGTTTAAAATAATGACAGATACAATTGAAAACCTGAAACATACTGACCATCACATTCTAAGCCACATTCAACATGGAAGCTTGATATAAGGAAGCATACACCTGCCTAGCCCGTTGAAACAAACATGGATATTTGTGATGCCTACTGTTTTTGTTAGTGTGCTGAATCATATGGAATATGCAATCATTAGAACCTTAAAAGACACCTTTACAACAACGAACATGCCCTTCGGTGGGTGGTTAAACAAACTGTTATATCCACACTCTGTAGTCCTACTTAGCAATAGAAAGGAACACTGTCAACACAGGCAACAACGTGGATCAATTTCAACACTGAGTGAAAAAAGTCAATCTCAAAGGGTCACCCACTGTATGACTTTATTTGTATAATAATCTCAAAATGACAAAATTATAGAGCTGGCAAATAGATTAGTGATGGTCAAGGAGGTAAGTGTGATTGCAGGAATGAGGGAGTGATGGAGTAGTTCTGTATCTTTATTGTGGTGGTGGTTACACATTATAAAATAGTGTAGGACTATAAGCAGACATTGTAGCAATATATATTTCTTGGTTTTGATATTGTACTGTAGTTATTTAAGATGCAACTTGGAGGAAACTGGGTAAAGTGTGCATATCTTTCTGTGGTATTTCGCAACTTTTTGTGAACTAGAATTATATCAAAATAAAAATATTTTTTAAAAGTCCAGGGCCAAACCTGAGGCTGAATGTTTTTGTAAATAAAGTTTTATTGGTAAACCGTCATGGTTATTTGTCTATGTAATTATCTATTGCTGTTTTCACACTACTACAGCAGAGTTGAGTAGCTGTAACAGAGATATGGCCTACAAAGCAAAAAATACTTTTGGCCTTTAAGAAAGAGGTTGCCAACCAGTGAATGAGATGTAGTAATTAAAAATGATTTGTGGAAGAATAACATGGAAAACATTAACACATTTTGATTCATATACTTACAAATAAAGACTGGCATGACATAGATAACACTACACATGCTCTACACACACACACACACACACACACACACATACATAAATTACCCGAGCGTTAAGAATAAAGGTAATTATTTCTTTAGTTTCCTGCATTTTCAATTTTTCTGAAAATATTAGGCACTACTGTTTTAAAACAGAATAGAAGAATGATATTTAAAAAAAGGAGCCCTTTTGATAGAAAAGATTCTAAAACAATGAGCATCACCATAGCTATTTCTAGCTTTACCCTCTCTAACTAGAGTCTTAATAGACTATTGAGGTGCCCATTATTTTCATACATTGGTTTAGAATCTAGAAAACTTTTAAAACAAGGATAAGAAAGTGATCTGGAAGTGATCAACAGTTTTGTTTAGCATGTTAACAATGAAAAATAAGCATTACAGAGATCTCAGTTCAAAAATTTTATAAGAAACCTGGAGAGGATTACAACTATAATGAAATTGGAAAAAATTCTACTTTTGACTAGACATTCTCTTTCTGAGCTGGAAGTTAAGAATGCTTTGTAGAAACACCTACCAATCCATATTTCCTTATAAAGGCATAGTAGAGAAAGAAAGGGGAAGACATTTTCTCATTCAGTTGTCAGCACATCAAAAAAACTCTTAGGTCTTTTGCAGTTCAGAACATGCAACATTAGCAATATTGGCATCTTTCATGACTCTATGGCAAAGGGGGTGGCATACTGGCCTCAACTTATTAACTTATGAGTTATGAAAAAAAAAGAATAAAGACTAATGAATTATGATGGCAGAGAAAACACCCAATTTTTGCCCCAAAAAACTGCAGGAAAGGGACATAGAGAACAAAGAACAAGAGAAAGAAGACAGCCATGAACAATAAAATAAATTGGAATCCAGAAAGCTGATGGACATGGTAATTGAGGTGGGCTTAAAAATACATCAAAACTCACTTCCTAAGCTAACAATAAGGAGAAATGAGAAACATCCAGATTTACATTGCAGAGCCCCTCAAAGTCATAGGAACTCCTACAGCAGCACATACCTCTGGAACTGGGATGGGTAAGTGATGAGGAAGACACTGTTAAAACATGGGGAATCGGGGTGAAAGTTCTTGAAAAGAAGTTAAGATTCCTACATCCCCTCCTTCACTGCACACCATAGGTGATGCCCTTCCCCAGCTCTAGCAGAAGTCTACTCCCCAGAGAGGATAAGAGAGATTAGTGCATGAGTCAACGGGAGGCACAGCTGAAGGCATGTGTAGACGGGTAACACAAATATATATATATATACATGTTTTATTCTCATTATCTGGTAGTTACTTCCCATAAAGTTTCTGTAAGCACTTTAAGAAGCAAATACTTATAATTCTTAGGAGAAATACAGAGTTGTGTTCCTGTGAACCTCTGGTTACATTATAATCAACCTATTGATACACAACCTTGTTTTATGTATTTCTTTTTAAAGACACCTTATTTAAATACATATTGTTGATTCAATAACAATGAATGCACAGTGAGCAACACTAACTCATGCCTGAATGAAGCTTATCTAACAGATGTATTCTCTCCAGAAAGCACATCACAGCCTTCCTGCACACAGAAACACTAAGACAGCACTTCAACACTGTTTGGGGGGCCATTTTAAACAGGTAAATCACCAGAAAAAGTGCAAATATATGAAAAATGTGGCACTAAATAGACTGTGAAAGGATACTTGTTTACAGTATGAGAGCTAAAACAAGAAGGCAGAGCATCATCTTGTTCTTCCTTAGCTGAGAATGTGCATGTCAGGTTGACAACTTTTAAAATGCTATGTACGTGTCTGTTAATGACCATGGAAACACTGCAAGTATTGATTTGATTTTAGGATAAAAAGTTTTAGCAAGTAGGCAAATTTGCAAATAAGATCCCATGATTAATAGACTGACTATATATGTACATGTGTGTGGATATATACACACACATAGTATGTATATAAGTGACTAATCTCATGAATAGTGATGCTGAAAGAGAATACTCCCACACTCACCTTCCTCTACCTGGTCCACAGAACACTGCCTGCCTAACTCTTACTCTCAAAGCAGAATGAAATTCTTACCTGGGAAATAATCATTCCATGAAGAAATAGCTGAAGACACTGACATTAGGAAGATTCTCAAATAGCTCAACCAAACCACACTATAATAAAGCTCAAAATCATCAAATACTACTCATCCACTCAGTTTCTAGTGTTTTCTTCCTCTAATCTTAATCCTGGACAGGAATTTCCAAAGATCTAAAAAAGTATCACATAAGCCCAAAACAAACAAAAAGCAATTATGGAAAATTAAGGCTCTTGGAAACTAAAAAGCCTTATAGGAGAAATGAAAAAGTCAATAGAAGGTTGGAGGATACCCCCTCAGAAAGAACAGTAAAATGGAGTAGAAATGGGAGAGAAACATAAGCAGAGTACCTGTCCAGAAGGTTTTACTCCAAATAGGAGTTAAAGAGAAAAGAAGAAAACACAAGTAAAAATAATTTTTAACAATATCCAGGAGTGAAAGGACATGACCCAGCAAAATGGATGAAAACTGATCTGTAACATTATCACTATGAAATTTCAGAACACTAGAGAGGTTCTAATGTTCAACCTATTATAATCAACCTATTGATTTAAAACCTACTGATTTAAAAGAAAAAACAAAAAAACAGTAATATAATCGGAAAGGCTTTAGATTCCCAAACAGGAACATGGAAATGGAGAAAAATCTTTTAAACTTCTGAGGGAAAATAATCTACAACCTGGGATTTTATATGCAGCCAACCTATCAAATATTGGGGTAGAACACATTTCCAGACAGGGAAGATTTCAAAGTTTACATACCATGTACTCAATCTCAAGAATTACAAAGGATGTTCTTTAAAACAAGGTAAAAGATATAGTGAGCAGGCAATTCAACACAGGAGAAAGAAAAAGGAATTCCCAAGATAACAGCCCAAATTTCCAGGATTAACAGTTCTGGGCACCAGAACTAGAGAACAACCAGTCCATATTAGAGGTGTATAATTGAAGATGCAGACATGTTGAAGGCTGTCATGAAAGATACCACTCACTGCCTTTGTAATCTGAGGATGGTGTGTCCTATCTATCTGGCTCTTACTCTGTTCTATACTTGCTTGATCAAGTCCCAGTGAAGTGCCTTCTCTCCCCTTCATATTCTGACAGTCTAGATGAACTGAGGTCATACATTCTACTCCGCTAGAAGGTTCTGTTTGATCTTAAGATAGAGGCAGGTCACGGTGAGCTTAGAAGCAGAAAATGTGAGAATACAACAGCTAAGTGTGTTTCTGTAGGAGATCCAGGATGCTCAAACTGTGATGACTTGTTTTCCATCGGAATCATCCACCTGGTTTACAGACATCTCCACATGGGGCTCTTACAAACTCTAGAAACTGACGTCAGACTCAGAGATTACTCAGGTCATCTCAAGGATGCCATCAAAAGGTAGTAAATATTGCCCTCAGAAAGCTATACATATGTGCTTCTCAGTTGCTCAAAACTAAACAAGATACTGTGTTAAGGGGTACTGTACAGGCAATTAATATAACCTAGACAGACATAAGAGTTACCCAAAAGAGTATAATAAAATTGAAGATGGACCCAAACAGTCTGTTTTATTTGTTGACTTGAATAGTTTGTTTTAGTATATATTCTCCTGTGAGTTTCACAACTAAAAAGACCATTAAAATTCTTACCCTTTTTTTGACCTTTAGCTGGAACAAGAAAGCTGGATAAAACATTAACTAATGTCCACACACAGGAAGCAACATAAAGTAGTGATAATATTAACAGTAAATTTACAAGATGGCTATAGAATTCTTTTACCTGAGATAATTTGATGACATCACAATGGAGGTAAGGATACAATGCATCAATTAATATATGTAAATGGTAATAATTTTTGACATGGTTTCATTTGTAAAGTCCTAAAATAGCTGAAAAAATGGTATTTTACCAATTGCAGACAATGCTTAAACAAAATAGGTCCTTAAGATGACAGCAGGCAAATTCTTCATGATTTTGCCCCTTAACTGGCATGCCTTAGGCCTTCCTCTCCTTGGTAACATGGAGTCTAGGTCCTACAGTTTCAAGATTAAGAGTTCTTTTCTGAAATGTCTTTCTTAAATGTCCACTCATTCATATATACTACTTAGTGATCATTTACCATGTGCCAGCACTGTTCTGGACCCGGGGGTTCAAGTTCCTGCCCTCAGTTCACTAAGAGAAGACTGAAAAATAAGATTATCTAGATGCATGCCATGGAGAACATAAAGCAGAGGAGCATAAAGAATGCAGGGGAGGGATGTGTGTTATTTTCAAATACATAGTCAGGAAAAGTGTTTAGGGGAAGTAAAAATTCAGATTATTATTTGACAATTGAGGAAGGTTTATATTTGCATTAAGAGCACTTCAGGGGGAAGAGTAAATACCAAGATCCTTATTTCAGGTGGTAATTGAACGACTTGGCATTGCTAAGTTATATTTTGCTGCACTCGCCCTGCCTCCTCAGATGATGAGGTCCTTGAAGGCAAAACTCTCCTACTGGACTCCCAACATGTGGCATGGAGCTTTTGTTGTTCCCAACCATTGTTCATACACAACTCAAATCACAAATATTCCAACATGTGATGAAATATTTCAAAATGTTATGTAAGAATTTTTCTTTTGAATAAATTAAGATCATTAAATTTGGAGGATGATAGACCTAAATCACAGTATGATTCACCAAGACTCATGTCTTACAGTCACATTTTTCTAATTTTCAGATCAAATCTAAGCTTATAATATTATGCCTGAAAATATTACAATATTTACAAGATGGCACAGAAAACTTAGGTACAAATACAAATACTGTACTGTTTTCTGTTCAATACTTGCTGCTAAATCCTGAGTCAGATGCACTGAAATGAAAAGCTCCCAAGATAGAATCTGAATAGCACCAAGTCAGAGTAACATTTTATGTCTTTAAGAGCCATGTGGGTTTTAAGAACCTTCACTTGAAAACCTGAATAAATGGTCAATCTTTTTAGGATTTAATACATTCCTACAAGTAACATAAATGATCATCATCTGACCCTTTCTTCCTCAGATCTGCATTTAAATATGCACCCTCCAGTATTCTACTTCCTCAATAACAAGCACTTCAGCCAAGTTTTTTGTTATCAATGTTGGTAGAGTAACAAATGCTACTGTTTTTCACAACTCTTAAAAATCCTACATTACATTTTTATTTGATAACACACAGAACTAGTAACACCTAACAGCTTTGGAAAAGCCATAAACCAATGAATTACAAAGATGCTTTCTAATAATTTAGGTATCAAATGCAGCTCACCTGTTAAAAATGGTTCTACCCCAGCCATTCTGTTCCCAAATCAGACCAACAGTGTTCACAGATTTGTTTTTTCAGAAGAGTCCAGATAATACCACATTTAGTCATGGACACATGAACAAGGGTCACTAACAACTTGTCTGTTGTAAAGATGTCACAGTTTACCAAATAATTAACAATTGTGATGGTGTCACCGCTTCAGCCTTGAAAAAGTTTAAAGTTAAAAAAAAAAAAAACTCATCAAAAAACAGGGAAAGTTTTCAACTATGTATTTTAATCAAGTATGAATGGTTCCAAGCATTAAATGTTGACGAGAAAAACTTTCTTGTTTAAACTGAAGTAAATATTTCTGATTTTGAGCCAGGTACTCACTGAAGCCAAGTAAGTTTTCTTGATTATTTCTTCTTCTGTTTCCTGTCTTCACTGTTCCTGAATTCCAAAAACAAGTCATCAGTAATTGAGTCCCAACAACCTTAATAGTCAGTTTTACCACTCTTTTGAAGTAGTTTACCATCCTTTTCGTATAGCAAGGGGACACTTAGCTTCCTACCAGTGGAACCTTCTCTGGAAAACTCTTCTTACCACTCAGCATTTCAAAACTGAGTTCAATTAGGTCACTTTTCTATGTACAGTAAATTAAACCACTTAATTCCTAAAAATGAGTGGAGATATTTCAAAGAAATATTTGAGAACATCTGCAAGACAACTGGGACAAGCATACAAATAAATGAACACACCAATTCCATTTAAGTTCTGAAGACATTTTCCTTTAATTTATCCAAACATTTCACATTCATGAAGTCATTTATTTCAGATCAAATCTAAGCTTATAATATTAAGCCTGAAAATATTACAATATTTACAAGATGGCACAGAAAACTTAGGTACAAATACAAATACTGTACTGTTTTCTGTTCAATATCTGCTGCTAAAATAGCATATCAAATAATGTCTCTTGTTCATTACTGAACATACTGAGGCTCTTAGTGGAGAATGCCTTCTCCTAAAAGCTCCACCATCATAGCTTTAGACCCTCAACATTCTTCTTCAAGTTCAGGAGCTCCTTTTCCTGCCTTCTTTTCTCCAGTTTGAAGGCTAATTTGTTAGCTTTCTTCTCCACTCTCCGTTCCTGTACAAGAATAGATTCATGTTATTCAAATCTTGAAATTAATGCAGATTTTTATAAAAGATAAATTCCCATGACCTCCCCACTACCAGCTCTTTGTAAATCTCACATTTAAGAAAGGTACTTTACCTTACGCTCTTCTTTTATAGCTTGCTTTCTTGCTCTTTTATCTTCTTTGCTTTCATTTTTAGATCTAGGTTGAGTTGACACCGTAGGGAGATCACTCTCATTAATCATCTGCATTCGTTCAACTTGCTTTGCTGTGAGTCCTTTCTTAGGTAAGACATCGAGAGGTATTCCTGTTTTAGTAGATATTCGGATTTGTTTGGACTGATAAAAAAGATAAAATGGTTATTTTTACCTAGCACTAGGGTTATTTCCCATTCCCAATAAAAAAGAACATATTAATGACACGTTGTTGCTTTTCCTAATGGTACTGCTAGCCACAAAGGGATAATAAAACTACTGTGAGAAGATAACAGTATAATCCATTTCCTGCATTTCAAATAGTTCAGACACAAGGAATTACCTTTGGTTGATACTTGATAAGCTGTGGATGGTTATATAAATTTGAGTATGTACCTAAAAAAAAAAAATCATGTATTAGTAAGTACATTTTCAGTTCAGCATAATATTACTGAGTTTCTACTATATTACTGACTTTGGTGTTTTCATTGTTCAAAACAACACTGTTCAAAACAACAACTCTGTTCTAAAAGTTTTAAAATTATTTATAACTTATTTTTTTCCAAATCATTTTCACAAAATGTTCTTTTCTAAAAAGTAGATGTAATTAATACTTTAAAAATTACCATTATACTTTCAGCAGTAAAATAGACACTAGGATACTTACTACAAATAGATTCACAATCCCACTTCTGTTTGTCTTCTCCAAGAACTACAGTAATAATCTCTTCCTCCTCAGACCCACTGAATTCATTCACTGGCAGGTCTTGATCCTCGAAGGGTTCAAGAGTATTCAGTTTTATACAACTTTTGGTTGGGTTTTCAAAAAATGAAGACAGAGGGGGAAAAAAAACCATTACCTATTATTATATTATACATTACTAAAGCTGCTCTTAAAGAGCTATGGAAACGACAGCACTTTTTAAAATCCACAACTCATGTGTCCTGTTACTTCCCATCAAAATTAGCTCTACACAGTCCTGCCTCTTCCCTCCAGCAGCAGGTTTCGGACATTCATTCTGATGGGAAGGAAAGACCTATCTGCACCTTTGTAAAGTTACTATACATTAAATAAGGTGGCAGTTTTTTTAAAAGCCTTGAAAAGCATTAGCCTATCCATCTCCCCAAAGTATTCAAATAGCACACTCATATGTAACCCCTGCCTGCTGTAGGATCTGCAGATGATAATGGTCATGGAACGTCAGACCTTCCCAGCAGATGTAAATACCTCATTAGTTTTTCTCAGAGAAGTCACCTTGATGTGGCTGCTGATCTGCCAAATATTTGGCTGGGAAGTTATGCTAATCTGTCCAGAAAGTCAAACTGTTACCATTGTATAAGCTATAAATACCTACTTCTCAGAACCTGGAACTCAGGAAGATGACAGGAAGAGTACATATGCTTGTAAGTCAGAACAATCCTTCAGCCAGAGGCTAGAAGCACCATTTCAATCTCTAAAGCGGAATGTGACCTCATCCTTCCTGCTCCAACCCTTACTTATTCCATCACGACTTGCAGGCCAAAGCTACAGAAAGTGGTTTTCAGTACATTCCCACCTACTGTTACATTCAGCTTCAGAACTCTTATCAAAATGTGAGCCAAAGGTTATGAAAAATGTACTATTTTTTTAATATGGATTCTGATCGGGTGATTTTCTAGAGTCAGCTGTACAACTACAAACTTTACTTGAAAATGAATAAAAGCAGGTAAACAGGAAAAGTCACCATACTTCTCTGCCTTCTCTTTGTAGTAGTCATTCAAAACTTCCTTTAAGCGATTGCTGTCTACTTGAATGGAGCCTTCCAATTCAGCATTATCCAGAGCTCCAATTTCATCATCATCATATTGCTCATAGAACTTGAATATAAAGAGAAAAGATACTATGAAAAATGAATGTACTCATTAACATTATAGCATTTAAATGTTAACTTTTAATTTATTCCTAAACAATATTTAAGTGCTACCATAAGATCACAACTACCATTAAAATAACAGCAGTGATTTAGCACCATAACAACATGATGTGGGAAGACATTCTACCCACCACTTTATGACTTACATTTAGACTGAAAACAGCCAGCCATTTAACATGAAATGAAAGGCAATTACTCTTTTTGACTGGGGGAACAAAATGCTAGGCAGAAACCTTTACCTCAAAATATTTTAGTTACTTTCAAATCCACTGATTAAGCAAACTAAAAGATCATGTAACTAAATAGCCTCCTGTTAATATACAAACTTCATTCCTCTTTAGATGTTTACTGTATTATTCAAATGCTGTTAACACTGTTAGACCTTGTAAAAGAGTGGACAGAGGGTGATTTAGGTCCTGACGAGTGAAGCTGTATGTGGTAATAGTTTGTCTACCTCTGGGAGAGAAAAGGGAAATGAGTACTTATTGAAAGGGCAGCACAATTAGAATTACATCTTAGATTTACCTTGAAGGAAAGCACTCACTCACTCAGTCACTGACTGAACAGTTTGAACCTCTACCATATACCAGGTATCACTTTAGGTCGTAGTCTGTATCACTCACTCACTCACTCACTCACTCACTCACTCACTCACTCACTCACTCACTCACTCACACACACACACACACACACACACTCCCTCCCTCCCTATCACACACACACACATACACTCCCTCCCTCCCTCTCACACACACACACACACACACACACACTCCTTCCCTCCCTCCCTCTCCCTTTTGACCTATTTTTATTCTTTCCAGAATTAAAACTACGGTGGTTTATAATCTGTTTTACTAAGACATAGGTTCTTCCTAATGCTGAAAACTCTAACTTTGGGTTCTAATGTCATAAAGAATTTGTAAGGAACTGATATTAAAAGGCACCTGAGGACCTCACCTTCTCAAATCTCTCATCGTGTAGAGTCAGCTGTTCATTTCTCCTCATAACTGAGGACGTCATTGAATACTCAGTGAAGCGACTTTTCGTTTCTTCTTCCCAGAACAAGTGATCTTCTACAGCTCCAGGAGGCCACCCAGGGGAAGGCACAGCCTCATCTGATAAGCCCACAGAGTCACAGCTTTCATCATCGCCACCTCGTCCCCTCTCATCACCCATGTCCTCCCACTCACTGCCATCTTCAGCCTCAGATTTCCTACAGCCAGAGTCATAAATTAACTGTCAAAACAATTTGAGAAACAACAGAACTAGATGACTTTACACAAGTAAAATTTGAGGGTATTTCACGGAGGACTCTTATTCAGGCAGGAACAGCTGTGATGTTTGACCCATTTGGCTTGGTGGGAAAAGTAATGAACTAGCAATCAGGCAACCTGGACTTTAGCCCCATCTGCTGATGGTTTGTAAAGACCTCAAGTCTCACATATTCTGCTCTAATATACAAAAGTCTCAAACTAAATACTATCAAAGGCCTCTTCCAGCTATAACATTCGATGGTTACCATCCTACTAAAGAAGCGACAGGTCATTCCTGCTTGGAAACAAACAACACATACCGTATATCCATTCCCACTTCTTCTTCCATTGGCTTATTGGCCTGAAGAATAAAATCATCTTCAAGCAAATTATCCGGATCATTAAAGTCAAAATCATTATCAAGAGCTGCGACAATATCAGGATCAAAATCAAGCCGAGGTCCTAGAAGGTAAAGAATTGAGCAGTAATTCCCAAGAAAGCATGATTCCTTCATGTAACACAATTAAAGAACTTATATGCTAGACTCTATGTGCTGAGGATCAAAAATGATGAACTTTGAGAAGTTCAGTCTAGTGAGCAATAGACTAGCAATGGAGGACAGCAAGAAAATAAAAAAAGGGGAAAAAACTTTCCCTCTGATTTCAATATTCACTGGTAAAAACTCTGCCGTTACATATTTTCCACATTAAACTGTATCTATTTAGCAAACTCTAAAGTTTTCACCTGCAGGAATAAATTAGGCTTTAAACTATTATTAGAAGTAACTCAGATTAAGGATTTGTAGGCTGTTAAACTTGGCTTTTTTGATTACAAGATTTTAATAAATTCTAACCTGTTTCTTCAGTTATGTTCTTCCACATGAAAAAAATATTCAAGTCCAAGAAAAACTTTCAAGTTCAAACGTGTAAACTGACATGCTTCTAACATCCTCACATGGTCACCACTTGACTGAGCCTCATTTCACATTAATACATTAATGCTTACCCTTCATCCCAGCCAGGCATGTGCAGTTTCCTAAATTCAAGTTCCCTCCCTTTTAGCACATACTCCTATCTGGAACATCCTCTCCTCCCCACCCCACCCTCCGTCATCCACCCGCCTAACTTCTACCTGAGAAACCAACCTAATCATCATTTCCTCTTAGGACACCTTGCCCAATGCCCCAAGGGTGGTGCCCCACCATACTCTTTCATTTCTGTTGTAGCCATAACTTCCCATTTATTATCTATCTTTCCCAATAGATGATAAATTCCTTGAAGCCAGGATTATGCTTTATTCTGGTTTGTTTACAAGACTAATTTTTGAGTGGCAACTCAAAAATCTGTAGAATATATGAATCAATGCTACATGGTAAGTATGGTAACAAACAGCATTTCTGTGGACTTTGTTCATTCTAAAATATGTTGAGATTGGAAAAAAACAAACAGTATGTTAATTTGCCAGTGTATCTGGAGTAGATGGTAAAATGGGCTTCTATAAAATACTCCTATAATCTTGGGAGAAATTCTGAAAGCTAACATAGTATTTTCAAGACTGCACTATACATTATGGAAGCCTAATTGAGTATCATTATTTCCTTTTAAGAGATTAGATCAAGGTTAAAATTCCCGTACCAGATCATCAAAAATAATTTTCCCACTTTTACTCTCCAAATGGGAACTTCAATGACTTAAGAGTTTGGGGGCAATACAAGAAAAGAATACTGATAACACTCATTTCTTCCAAATGATCTCTAATCTGAATCCAGACACACCTCAATTGTTTCTAAACTCTATTAGGGACAGAAAACCTCTGTATCATTAGTTATGTGTTTTTGTAAGATAAATCTTATTCATTGAAAAGGTAAATAAATTAAATGCACCTGAAACAGGAGCTGCTTTATTTAACAGTCCAACATCTTCTTCAAACTCTGATGCAAACACTGATGACGGCAACTTAATTCCAGTGGTCTTGAAGAAATCACACAATGATTAGGTTTATTTAGAAATACTTCTGAACTTGAGAAGTATCACATCTCCCCACCTGAATTCATGTCACCTCAAGGCTCAGAATGTGATCTTATTTGGAAATAGGATCCTTGCAGATGTGGTTAGTGAAGACACGGTGATACTGGATTACAGGGGGGCCTCATCCAATGACTGTTGTTGCATCCTTATTTGAAGGCCATGTGAAGACCAAGACACACACAGGAGAATGTCGTGTGCAGATGGAGGCAGACTGAGTGAAGGATCTACAAGCCAAGGAACACTAAGGATTGCCAGCAACCAACAGAAGGTAGGAGGTAGGCATGGTACAGATACTTCCTCTAAGCCCCTAAGAAGGAACCAACCTGCAGAAAGCCTTATTTCAGATTTCTGGCCTCAAGAACAGTGACAACAAATTTCCGTTGTTTGAAGCCACCCAGTGGTAATTTGTGGTAACTTGTTACCCTAGTCCTAGGAAACTATTATAACTGCAACCTGCATTCTCTCACTTGTGCTCCAGTTCTACATATTCCATCATCATCTCAAAAGCAACTTCCCTAAGCTTTCTTTGGTCTATCATTCTAGTTAATCCTCACAACTCTGTCAAACAAAAGGTAAGAAAGGTTAAATGGCATGCCTGCTGGCAACTGGTTAAGTGAGGTTCTGGGATTCAAATCCATGTCTTGTAACTCCACTCTCCTCAAGTTTCAAAATAAAATTAATCTTTTTTTTCCTTCTAAACCAGAGATAGTCTCAATCTCTGGTAATGGCACAGCCTTTCCCTGGGCAGGCAGTCTTAAATCCCAGGGTGGTCGTAAATCACTTCTACCCCAGTATCTCTCTGAACTCTCTCCCACACAGTGATTCCTCACCACTCTTGGGTACCTTCTTAGTCAGTTAACCATGACATAGATTAATTCATTTGCTGCTTAGCTAGTCTACACCTAATACAACCTTCATATAACTGGCATCTTTTAATATTTATAAGGTGACCTTTCTAAACTTATAATAGGTTTTGATTATTTACTCCTCATTTTCAAGGCTCTGTAAAATCATGGCATAGTCTATGTATCCAATTTTCTTATTGTTACTCAGTAATTACCACCTCCATGTAAATTAAGTCCAGTTCACGTCATGGAATAATTGAAACCAATTTACAGAACAACACACGGACACTATGATCCACACTACTACCTTATTTATGTCCCTTCTGACCGGAAGATTCCTTCCTCTCTCTCTAATAGAACCCACCCTTCACAAACTCCGTTCCTCCATCCTCCACGAAGCCCTTCTTGATTACCGTCCAGAACTTCACGTCAACTCCCCTCGTTCTTCATGCTGTACCATTTACTTCAACATGTATTGACACATATCTTCTAACTGGTCCTTATGCTTTAGTTTTATCTTTTCAACCAAATAGTTAATAACGTGAGGGTCACCACATCATGTGTCTCTGTGCTCCCCACCACCCACCCCACCCTCAGTCTAGCCGCAGGCATGAGGCTCAGATACACGTACATTCTCACTGGCTCGCAGACTGAATCGGAAGCTGCTGAGGAATGTGGGGAAAGGCTACATTCAGCAGCATATACCTAACAGGCTGTTACAGCTTCCTAAATGAGTTTTTTTTTGGCATCAACATGGACAAAAGTTTCATTTTCTGCTCTAGATTCCTTTTTTTAAAAAAACAGCTTTATTGAGGTGTAATTCACACACAATTCAGCCACTTGAAGTGCACAATTTAATGATTTTTTTTGCTATATTACACTGTCAATTTTTAAAAATTGTGTACTATATGAGTTCTTTTTTTTTAAGAGGGAGGAATAGTTTGTGTATAGTGAATTTACCTTTGGAGATATTTTTCAAACCTTGAAAACAGCCAAAGCAGCATATAAAATTAGAGCTTAGACAATGATTACTTTTCTTACAAGAGATGTGTAATTTCTGTATTAGCTACAGCAGCTCTGAACCACATTGAGTTTGCCCAGCTGCTTTCTACCATAGTAGCACCTACTTTCCTTCATATGAAAATCAGGGCTGCTCAAGCACTACTCATTTCTGTATTGACTTACTTCCTGGTTTTAGTGCTTATTTAATATTTTTGGTTCAATTTTAGAAGTTTGTTATGAATTACTTAACAGTCAAAAAAGCACATAGGACTCATTCATATTTTTGCATCTTGCTAGAGAAAACCAGTAGAACTTTTTTTTTAAACATAATTCACCCATTCTCTTAAGCATCATTCAGTATCCACTGAAGACCCTTATTCTGTTAAAAGAAAAATCATTTAGATAGTGTGATTACCTTTACTCAAAATGAATCAAAGATTAAAAGTTAATCAGGTACTGGCCAACACAATTTGGCCAGAAGAATGTTAGGATAAACTTTTCTCCTTAAGTAAGATCAAACTGAGCCACTACTGGATCCCCTTTCCTTCCTCAGTGGGTCATAGAAGGAAGTGAGCCAATAAGATATGTACCCCACTCCTGACAGAACAGCCTTGGGGAAGGAGTAGAGAAGTTGGGTCAGTTATCACAGAGATGTGGTGGTGGGTGTGCTGCCCTATAGGAGAGCAGTGGCCCCGCGAGTGAATGACCCACTGCAGTTATTACTGCTCTGTTTAGACTGATACCCCAAAAACGAACTCTTCTGACTCTCCTGAAGCAACAAGCTAAGGACTGGAGGAGCTACGAGCACATCTTCCTTGAGAAAAAGAAAACCTAGGTCAAGACAGGATTGGAGAATGAGAAACACAGGAAACTGGTGCCCTTTTTATCTCGTCTGACAAGAATCCCAATAAATGAATTGTGTCTTCTTTTAAGTACCAGGTGATATAAAAGTTTCATGAGAAAATTTATACTAATACTAAAAGAAAATAAGATGATACAGGTATGCAACATAGGCATCCTTAACATGAGGGAAAACATAAATTAGTGGCATTAATTTCATATACTCTCATTTGTACTTAAAAAATAAAGTATTAGAGTGGACTGTAATTTTATTGAGAAGAGATAACGGGAATTTCATTGCAATCTACTCTCTCTCATAGCCTATGGCTCTTAAGATCTGAACATTCTGCAAAAGTGAAGTTCTAGTTTAGAACAGAGTTTATGACACTGAAACACATAATTAACATATAGAATGTCATCTGCTTTCCTTCTACTGGAAAGTGTTATCTAACACGACCCTATCTATCAATCAAAAGTTCTAGCCCTGTCACAGGCTGTTGCTTTTGACAACTGCTACCAGGGGACAGGCGGCCTGCTCTCTCATGGTGGACATAAGCACACACACGTAACAAGTGTAAGTGAGGATGTGGCTTATCATTGTTCTCTTCAGAACTGACACCATTTCTTGCCCCAAGTAGTTGTCTTGATTTAAAAATGGTGGATTCTTCACTTGCCCCCAACTCTACTTTTTCTCTCACACTTAAGTTACTGTAAAGTCTTACTGAAATTACTAAAGTTTCTTCTTTATCGTTTCTCTCGCTGGGTGCACTGAAGGCACTTGTGGGAATAAGCTCTGAGGGCCCAGAGGGCTCCTTCAGGTGCTGTAGGTAGTCATAATCATCATCAAAGAACACTCCATACTTCCTCTGTTCTGCTCGCCTTTCGTCATCATTTACCTAGGATAAAACACAAAGTGGAATTAGTACTTCTTCCAAGAATAAAGAATAGGAACCTTCCAATGAGCACAGCTTTGGTATAAGAATGCTTTGGCTCACAGTAATGAAACAACGGATTCTGACAAACTCAGGAAACACAACTTCTAAACCGGAGTACCACATAAAATTAAAATATAATGAAAACAATTCCTCTTTCCACTAGACATTTCTGCACAACAGTTCAAGCCAAGAAACACAGTTTATCATGTAGTTAGAGGATTACAAAAAAAGATTGGCCTTGAAAGGCAAGTTCAATTTCTTGTATTTATATGCACAGAAACTTCTCAACCTACAACACAAATGGGCTTTACTGAAAAGCTAAATATGGCAAATGTTTGCTGACCCTTCCTTTCACATTACCCATTCTTAACAAGGGTACCTGATGGATAATTTATCAAATCAACATTTTAAAGGTTCCCTGGCATTTTCTAAAGCTGACTCATGAGTTCCCATTCATGAGGTGAGTAGGCAAGAGTCAAAATGCAATTTGTGGTTATGAGATGGCAGGATCTTAGGGAAAGCAGACATGTGTCCTGAGTAACACCATGCAGCATTGTAGCTGATGGGTTCATGAACACTTACCACTACTCTACGAGATTTGTTTATTTAAACACCTCAAATAAAGATGCTGTGTCTTCTCAATCAAAATACGTATGCATAATGTAGAAATTAACACATTTACTAAAAACGAAGGCCTAGATTTTGTTTCCCAGAAGATCATAGTTATCTGAGAATAAGCAGCTAGCTAACATAATTTGCTAAAAACTATCAACAGTCCACCTACAAACTTATTGGGTAAAGAACCTACTTTCTGTGAAGGCAAGAGAACTCTCTGGGGTGCGGTCTCATCTGCTGCTAAAGGATCTCGTTGGCTCCTGTGGACCAGGTGAAAAGACACAGCCTTCTTCTTCTCTATAAAGGGCTTTTTCTTTCTGTGAGGCTTCAAAGGAATAGAATCAGAGCAAGCCATTAAAACAGAACAGAAACAGTGAACAGCGTCATGTAGGCATCTTTAGTAAGTTACAAGGAGGATCAACAGATTTTTAAAAACTACACTTAAATGGTAGGCAACATCAAATATATTCAATAAAATCTATACTTACCTTCCTTCAACAAACATTTGTTGGCTCTGTGCCAAAACTTGTTACAGGTACTGGGAACACAGCAGTGAGAAGCTCAGACAAAATCCCTACTCTTAGCACGCAGATCATCAAGACAATGATCTCAGGTAAAGAAAATAAAACAGTGATATGCAAATACTTTAGACTCAAGAGTGCTCAGAGAAGGTCCCTGACAGGCTGCACCAGAATGACAAGGAGTTTGCCAAAGGAAAAACCGGGGAAGACAGTTTCAAGCAGGTTACACATTTCATGTACCAACTATTAAATTAAACCATGACATAAGAGTTAAAGTTTAAGATTCATCATCCCTTTCTACATTCTCACTCTGCTACTCATCCTTGATTTTTCTACAGTGAGAAAGCATCGTACTGGCACAAGAACACATACACAGACCAATGGAACAGTATACAGAGCCTAGAAATAAACCAAAGCCTATATGGTCAATATGAAAAAGGAGGCAAAAATATACAATAAGGAAGAGTCTCTTCAAAAATGGTATTGGGAAAACTGGAAAGCAATGTACAGAACAATTAAACTAAATCATTGTCTTACACCACACACAAAAATAAACTAAAAATGGACTAACAACCTAAGTGTAAGACCTGAAATCATAAAACTACTAGAAGAAAACATAGACAGTAAAATTTTGAACATCATTAGAAATTTTTTTTCTGGGTATGTCCCCCCAGGCAAGGGAAAAACAAAAAACAAAAAACAAGTGGGACTACATTAAACTAAAAAACCTCTGCACAGCAAAGGAAATCATAAGTGAAAAGACAATCTACTGTATGAGAGAATATATCTGCAGATAATTTATCTGCTAAGGGGCTAATAAACAACTCATACAACCCAAAACCAAAATAATAATGATGATAATAATAATAATTATGCTTAAAAAAGGGCTGAGGACCTGAATTGACCTTCCAAAGAAGACATACAGATGGCCAACAGACACATGAAAAGATGCTTAACATTACTAATCGAAATGCAAATCAAAACTACAATGAGATTTCACGTTAAATAGCCAAAATGGCCAGTTTCAAGAAGAAATAGTGCTGATGAGGATGTGGAGAAGAGGAAACTCTCATACACTGCTGGTGGGAACTGCAAATTGGAGCAGTCACTAGGGAAAACAGTATGGAGGTTTCTCAGAAAACTAAAAACAGTAATACCATACATCCCAGCAATTCCACTTTTAGGACTCTACCTGAAGAAAACAAAATCATTAATTTGAAAAAGTATACACCCCATCCTATGTTTGTGGCAGCATTATTTAAACAGTCCAAGACGATGGATTATTATTAGACCACCAAAAAAAAAGAAGTCTTGCCATTTGTGACATGGATGGACCCAGAGGATATTCTGCTAAGTGAATTAAGACAGAGAAAGATGAATGAATACCGTATGGTTTCACTTATATGTGGAAGCTGAAACACAAATGAACAAACAAAACAGAAACAGACTCAAACACAGAGAACTGCGCGGTTGGTGCAGGGGGGTTTAAGCAGATAAAGAGTTTAAAGAGGCATAAACTTAAAATTATAAAACAATTCACAGGAATGGAAGTATAGCATAGGGAATATAGCTGATAATATTGTAGTATCTTTAATGACAGACGATAGATACACTTACGGGGAGCATTTAGTAATGTATATAATTGATGAATCACGAAGTTGTTCATCTGAAGCCTATATAACTTTTATAAATTTTAAATTTTAAATTACAAAAAAGATAAGAAACTGATAAAGCATCATTCTAGTAGAGTAGGCCGCCTTGCTTTGAGCCCAACCTCAGACTCCCACAAGGTCCCTTTCAGAGCAAACAGATGGGCAGACACGGGCCACTCCAACGTCAGGAAACCAACAACTTCTTCGCCCGCCCCCGCGAAGCACCGGGTGGCGCGTCTCTGTCCTGTGTCACAGGGTGTAGGCCCCTGGGGGTAAAGGGGGAGGCCATTCTCTTCTTTCCAGTCCAGGAGGAGGCTTGGCTATGGGACTCGATCTAAATTGCAAAGCATGCCCGCGGCGGTGAGGGGGCCCCATTCCGGGCCACTGGGCCACAGGCGGCCTCCCCGCGCCTCCGGAGCAGCCCTGGCAACCCCAGGCCGCGGCAGCCACGGGCACTTAGAGGCAGCAGCCAGGCCTCTGCAGAACCCGAGCGCCCTGCCTCGCCCCCGAGATAACAAGGCCCGCTCACCATACTGCAGCCGCGCGGAGTTCACCCCAAACGAGAGCAGCGACAGCCCTCTCCTAACCTCAGGGTAAAGGGCACGCTTCGTCTCCTACGTCCCCGGGGTCCGGCTCCCAAACGGGTCCCTAGGCCTCCGCACGTGGAGCCCCAGAGCCCAAACCGGAAGTCGCACAACAGCCCGTGGAGATGAGCCTACCGCCGAGGAGCTGACGGGTCGCGGCCGGAAGTCACGCCCAGCCCTCCGTCGCAAGGAGCGCGAGAAGCTATTGGGAGGTGGGGCTGCTCCCCTACCGGCTGGGCGGAGCTTTCCCGGCCAGAGTTTGGTGAGTCGGGGAGGCGTCGTGGGCGCCTCCGAGGCAGTGAGGCGGCAAAGAGGGTGAGGTGGATTAGAGAATTTACTTTTACAGCGCCCTCTACGGAGAACCGAGGGTACGTATCTGGTATTCCCTGCCTATCTCTTGTTTCCAACCGTAACACGCACATACACACCCGTGGACACAGGAGGTGGCCACCCTGCCAGGTCACCGAGGTTTCAGGTTCGCTCTCTTCTGGAACGTCGCGGAGTCGGTTGCCTTAGCAACGGGGAGGATAGGGGCGTTGCTATTCTAGGCTGCACCAGGCTTAATGAGGTCTTCATTTTCCGCCATTTAGTGAACTGCGTTTAAAGGTCCACTTATAACCCCCTGAGACACTGTTGACATTTGAGCTGATAAAATATATTAAGAATCTCTTTGTGGTGTTTGCTTATAAAGTGGAAACTAACGTTTATATGTTTCCAAGTCGTTCCTCAAAATGTTTTAACGTGGTTTAAGCAAATGGGCACACCTTCCAGAGATTACAGGCAGTTACTGGCACATTCTCATAAGTTTTTCTGGGCAAGAGAGGTTGGTAATGCATTCAAACTTTTGCTGGCTAACCTTTGTGTTTCCCCTTCTCGATTTCTGGCGTCTTCCAACGTCTGATTATCTTGCATTGTGTCTTTATGTCCACTTGGTGGGAATGGCGTACACAAATTGTGTTGTTGGGTGTGTACATGACGTATTTGGGGAACAAAGATTTTCCTTTGATTTGGCCCAAGTTCAGTTTTAAAATAGAGCAATTTGGAACTGTGGTCTGTGGTGAAATTATGTAAGACCTTGAAGACTAATGTGCCTGGAAGTTACTCAGTAAGCAGAGGAGTCTCACTGTAAAATTCTGAGTAGGAATAATGAGTGATCCTTTAGGAAAAATAATGTGGCAGCAAAATTAAGAATAGCTTGGTTTGGAAAGACTTAGAGAAGTAATAACCAAGATTTCAGAAGTAATGGGGGGAGGGGCTGGACTAAAGAGGTAACAAACTTAAACTTTTGACTGTGGGTAAAGATTATAGCTTTGGGTTGAGCTTCTTTAGTATGCCTACCTGAATGATTAGGGGGCAAATTCTTCCCAATGTTGAGCACATTCCTGCTCCAGATTGTCTGGCCTGAGCCATCCAAGGTCAAAAGTCCATCCAGGAACACATCTTTAGGTCAACAAGCATTGAAAATACCAGTTCTCTCCTCCCCAGGATATTTACATAATTATGAAAAGCTATCATCTATAACTTTTCCCAAGGTCTCTACAGATGGCCCCTGTCTTTGGCAAAAGTGCAAAAATTCTTCACATGACTTTAGGTTCTTAAACTTTCTCTAGAGTTTTATGTGTTCTATTCGTGACCCCTTCAAAGGGAAAAGAGTTAAAAAATTCACAAACTGAGCAAAGCCTTAACTTGCTTATGGATAGGAGCCCAGCAGCAGTAACTTCATACAGATGTGTGGAGTTGAGATCCAGTGATGAGTTTAGTTTAATCACAAATCTGATGCCATCAAAGTATTGTGTGAAATGAAAAAAATTGTCCATTCTTACCTCCATTAGGTTTTAGAAAGTAATGCTTCAATGCAGAACTGGTTTTGTGTGAACAAAAAAATGGAAAACAGTTGTTGAACTATTACACATTCCTGTGGGATGTGCCACTGATTTTTAATAGCATACTGGGGCCAGTTTTTCAAACCTACTTTTTAAGTTTTTGGTCCCAATCTTCATTTTTATATGTTTTCTGTCTACAAATTATTTTTCAACTTTCTCCTTGTACCTTGAAGGAGGCTAAGTTATAATTTGTAACCACTATGGAAAAACATGAAAAATATATTTCAACTCTTATTCTGGTCAAAATATGTTCCCAATATCTCTCCTTACATATAATACATTAAATAGTAAGCATAATGAGGAAGTTCATTTTCTATATTATACTCATTTTTCTATATTATACTCTATAATATATTCTATATTATACTATCTTTTACTTTTATACAGTATGTCAATAAACATCAATCAAATATCCTCAGATATAAAAAGACAGTAAGTTTTAAAAATATACTGTTTTTTTTGTTTAAAAAGTTGCTGTTTAAAGCAGTAATTCTAAGATATTTTAAATAAAAAGCACAAGTTACAAAGCCTTACATATAAAAAATTTTAAGTTAAGTGGAGTTGAAATACCAGGCAATTAGAAAAACTGTCATCTTGCTTACAGGTGAGGACTCTGTGAGCTCGTAATTTAGGAAGACTGAGTATTGTCTGAATACAATAGAAATTGGAACAAACTAAGGCTGGGCATTTCCCAATGATTTTATTGAGGTAACTTCTCCCAATTTTATACATATATGCATTTATATATACTTAGGAAAGCTAAACAATGTTCTAAGGCACTTGGAATTGTGCACAGCAATGTATCCTATAATATTATACAACTAAATAGAGCATAATTTTGCTTTTTAAATAACACAAACATCAGTACGGAATAAAAAAGATAATACATAGTCTTTCAGGTTACAATAGTGGAATACATATACATATGTGTGTATATTTGTAGATGTTTATACCCACATACTATAATACAGTACAGATCAAGAACAACAGCAAAAAAGAAACTGTCATGTTAATCAGTGTACAGTTCCAGTTATTTACACTCACAGATACTATACCTGTGCAATATGTAGGATTAGATTACTCACTGGAAATCGGGAATCATTCAGTCAGTCTGATAATGATCACAGCTTACCATTCTTATCACTTTAACCAAAGCTTGAAGTAACAACAGAATGCATATAGCTCTATATTTAAAAATCATTGTTACATTAAAAAAAATGATTCCTTGGAGTTTTTAGTAAGTACTGAATCTGGTAAAGTTGGCGCAAAATGTTTGGACATATTGGCACATTTCTAAGCCACAGAAGAAATATTTGAAAAAATAAAAATAAGAATTAATGCCTACATTTTAAGCAATAAAAGTGGTTTGACCCTAGATTCACTCAGATTGGTTTTGAATGCTAATTAGTATTGCAATGGTGACTTTTCCCTGTGGAGGCTGTCTAAGCTATGTAATGATAAAAACAAACTCTAAATTGGCAAGTGGCACAAATATTATTGGCATTTTAATATATCGTAAAATTGACCTGAGTGTGGAGTGGCATTTTGCCTCATTTACTCCCTTCAATTTATTCTTTAAAAAAAAAACCTGGTATTTAGCAAGGTAAGAATTCTTAAGCACCATCTAAAAGTTCACAATATAACCACCTTTATCAATTCTGAGTTGCTCTGTGTCAAAAAATATATTTAGAAATTTTAATATTTTAAAAAACTATAGTGGCCAAATTAATTCCATCCTGTTAGCCACAATTCATCCAAATCATTTTGAGACATATATACCATTCCATTTTGGTGATAAACAGTGACAAAGAATAAATTTGTTTATGTATGGTTGGTACAGTTGAATAATGTTTCACCTACATAAAACATGTTGTTTTGTGTACGACCATCACTGAAGTATGAACAACATGCATGCGGCCCACACGTAATCTGTTTCCTTCATAATTCAGTATTCACAAATCTTACAAAGTTGAACAACACGACTATCCTTATATAGGGGGAATTCAAGCATTTGCATATGGATTAAATACTTCCTTAATAGGATAAACAGGTAGCTGTTTTGGAACTCAAGGGATGCAGCTTACCAGGTGAAATCTAATGGTGATGTTCATGGACCACAGTTTTTGTTTATGTGAATTGTTGGTGGTTGGGTTTGTGGGTAAGCCATGTAACAATCTTCATGACACTGATGAGAATTATCACCAACTGTATAGTTCTGAAGTAAAATTGTGAGGCCAAAGGAAAAAAATAGTTACTTCATGTGAAATCTCTCCTTTAAGTACACACAAGCACTAGCCAAGTGACTGTGACCACCGGGATTGCCAACGCTGCCTGGGAACTTCCTCCCCAAAGAAATGGCAAATTAAAGCTGCATCAAAGCAGGAGGCTTGAAAAATAAAGGGGCAAGAAACTATTCAGGGCCCAGAGAAATGCAAGGCAGTCAAGATGATATGTTGAAATAGGCACTTTTTCCGGTGTGTCCAAATTGCAGTAGGCAGTGGAATTCAAAGTGGGTTGTAGTGCCCTCCAAGAAGGACACTTGAATATAGGGAGGGCTTTTTACATTTGGTGTTTACAGTGACTGGGCATACCACTGGCATTTGGTCAGCAGGGGCCTGGGATATTACCCATCTTGCAAGGTGGGGGACATTTCTGTACAACAGTGAATTGCCCAGCTCCAAATGCCAACAGCACCCCCCACTGAGAAACACCGGTCAACAGTGCTTTGCTCCTACATGCAGCTGTGCTAGCAATGTGACAAGCTAAATGACATTTTCTGGGCAGTAAATCCCAGCACAGCTAAAACTGACCTTTGCCTATAGGGTTGGTTTTTGGTGGGGATAGCTGCCACAAATTCTTTTTTTTTGCCAGAAATCTTATAGTATATACAATAGGATTTCTTCATTTGGGATGACCGTCTTTATAAAAGCATAGGTGAATATGTTTCCTTTGTTTTCTAGAAATTCTAATGGTGGTTCAATTTTCTATACAGAGCTTAAGCTTAATGAAAAAATAAAAGAAAAGTGAAAATGAAAATGGTTTGGGAATACCTTTCTCCCCACCATCCTTCAGTCACTGCCAAATTATAGTAGATCCTCATGCTGCTCTTTGAAACTTGGGTTGGAACTATCTGGAGAGGTGCTTCCTCTCAGAAAGGTGGTTCTACTAATTTGATGGTTACTTTGCCATTTCATTCCCCCCAGAACATAGTTCAGTTCTAGAAGTTGATTCTGCTTTGCCAAGTAAAACAGTGTGATATATACCACCAGTAAGTAGAGAACAAAATTCAGTAGTGGTAAATTAGCCATTTCAAGAGGCCAAGGGACAACTTTCTAAATAAACTGAATCTCAGTGGTTCTTCAGTGCTCATAACATATTCTCATGATGTGAGGAATTCTTGTCTCAAAATGAATAACTCTAACTAGTAAGGTTAGGCTTCATAATATGATTGGAATTTAGGAATGCTTAAGCTACCACACTGGTGGAATGATATAAATTTATGTATCTTGTACTAGTTTGATTCCATCTCCCTTATTCTTAGGAAGATTTCTCACTCTGTGAATTGTGCTGCTAGCACCACTTAAAAAATAATAATATAAGAAATATTTCAGCAATAAGGAGGAAAAGAAAGCTTTCACTATCTGAATGTGAACACGACTGCCTTTTTCTCTTGTGAATACAGTGCCATTTTTGAAAGTTATGTCTGTCTGACTCTATTAGGTATAAATACATACTTGTCATGTGTTAAAATGTAATATTGGATATGCAATGTTACTACAGTTGTTTTTTTTCCTCTCAAGTATAAGCTACTGTATTTTTTAAAAGTACCAGTGCAGCACTGAATTAATTGCAGGGTGTAAAACCCAAATGATAGGTTTTAAGGAATTAGCTCTCATTTTCAATATGTGATGTTTTTGAGGGATGTATTCAATTCCACTACTTTCTTGAATAGATTTTCACTTACACTGCAGAACTTTCTACTAAAAGAATACAGACAAGTGATTATAATCATTATGCTAATAAAGAATATCAAAATGAAACCACAAAGTCAAGTTTTTCTGGGTAAATCTGAGAGAGAGATGAGTTTGTTTTTTCCTCCATTTAAAACATGTTTTAAATACCCCAAATGGTTCTCTGAATATTATAGATTTAATTTAAATAATTTAAGGAATTAACATAAAGATAAATTTTATCAAACATAAAATATGCAAGACATTTCAGGTACACAGGCAATTACCAGGCAGGCTGCCTTAAATTAAACTGATCACCAGAGAACTAATTTTGTCTGACTGCTTGCTAATGATCACAAGGATGCTGATAAAGCCAAAGGCGTCTTCTTACTACTTTGAAGTTAATGTTCTTTTCCTCCATTTAAAAAAAGATGGAAATGGCCGCTTTGGCTTTTACAGTCTGTCTAGTTCTTTCTTGCCTGGGATCTTCCTGGAGAAGGGTTTGTTTTCTTCCTTAGTCATATCTTGGAGACTCAGAAAACCTACTCACTTCCTCTTTGTCGGCCTAATGCCTCCTTTTGAAATAGGGAAAACTCTGGTGTTGTGTTACAACAGCCCACTCCTCACACACACTTATTTTCTCTATAGAACTGCAGCTTGTTGGCCAGATTGTAGAAATGCTGACTTGGAGCAGAGGCATAATTGAGGGTGGTCCACACCTTTGCATCCTTTCAGGGCTGCCAGGCGAGAGACCTGGGATGGAAATGCAGTGATTCTACCTTTTAAAATTAGCTATTAAACTGGAGCCTTATTCTGCAGAATATAGCTTAGCTCATAATCCTTCAATTTTTACCATGGCTTTTTATTTAAAGAATCATTCTAATGATATAATCAGTAGGTCTGATTTTTAAATATCAAGATTAGTAGAGATTAATTAAAAAAATTTTTTTAACTCCTAACTTTTAAACTTTCCTCTAAATATGTCAATCAGTGTGAAGAAAAGGTGTGGGTAGTTCGTAAATCTGACATATCATACAAGGAAAACAGTATATTGAGGGACCGGATTCTCACTTTTGTACTGGGTAAATCTCATCGTGGGGAATTAAAAACTGCATCATATGCACTGACTGGGAAAAAGTTGCTCTTTTTATCAATCAAATAGAGACTTTCTAAAACATTTATCTTGACTGATGAAACAGTGATAATGTCTTATATTGAATATTTTTGTAGAAACCTTGTGATTAGAAATGTCAATGTTTAGAGAGCGTAAGTATAGAAAGTTAAAACATTACATTCCTTGTATTTTTCCCAAGACACTAAAATGATAATACAGTAATATCATAAGGAAAAGGATGACTTCAGCAAAAAATTAGAACAAAGTTAATGTCCATGGCTAGATTCAAACACTATGAAAAATGGACAAACCTCAGCCAGAGAAAGATACTTGGGCATGCAGAAAATTTTTTTCAGAGCAAAAATATGTTGTATCCTATTAATGAAATGGCAGCAGTACAGGATCTAGGTTGATATTATTAATGCACATAGGTGAGTGCAACAATGCTGGTTACTTTTCTTAGCTATAAAATGGTCCTGGCTTTTTGTAATAAGCTTACTGGAGCTACTTTTTTTTTTATTTTTAAGCAAGAATCACTCGGTTTTGAGTGGCTCTTTAAAATATAAGTGAACAATAGGATCAAATTTATCCACCAGATAAACTAAACTGATTTTTGGATGAAATTGAAAATTATAGTCTTCTATATTATGAACCAGAAACATTTCAGAATATTCTACCTCATGCTCTGAGAGTAAAATAAAGTATATTTAGGTCTTTTCTTATTATTATACACCTTATATGTTTTTAATAAAAGGGGCACAAGACAATCATGAAAGAACAATTTAATGCAAGGTAGTATTTACATCTGCTCATATGAATTTGGGAGCAGAAGACATGCTGTGCCGATGACGCCATGGAAAAAATAGTAGGATGACATTAGAAGGTTTCTTAATGTAAACAATACTGACTGCAGGCTCATAGAGAAACCTTTCATGATTTTAATCTCACTGATGGTTTTGCACTGAAAGTCAGTGCTCTCTTTATGAATGTAATCTGCAAACTCTTAAAATACAAAATGAAGTTCTCCTCACTGGCAAGTTAGTAAAAATCTTCTGTGTTCTTGTAAGCCTTTGGGTGAGTATTTTTTGATTCATGTACTTTATTTTTTATAATAGCAGCAATCCAACTTAATTCAGCCCTGAAAATAACGAGTCCTTTGCAGTCCCAGTCAGAACTAACTGCTGGCAGAACACTTGCATTTTGCTTAAGTTCTAACTTTGGATTCAGATTTTTTTGAAAAGGTGTCATGACTGTCAATATTGTCTTCCTTAGATCAAGTATAGTTGTTCCAACTTTGGAGATAATCAAGCTAGGGAAAGACCAAAAAATTTATTTCTAAGGCTTGCTATCAATTTATAGGGTCACATTACACCTCATATTATTCCCAGTCCTGTTATCCTTGTGGAAGGTCGGTACATTAGGTAAGAAGTATATGAAAAAAAAAAAAAAGGTAAAATATGTATAGCTCTGCTACTTAAAGCATGCAACAAAATTTGGGTAAGCATGCTTGTTAAGAGTCAGTACAAGCCTCTTGCACTTAAGAAAAAGATGCATGAAAACACTCAGACTTATTTCTGGCAATTGGATTCACTGGCACAACATAAAATAATGGTACTATACTGTACCAACATAATGGTGAGACTAGAATATTCTTCTAAGATCAGGTTTTTAAGGAATCCACGTTAGGTGATTAGATTCCCCAATCCCTTAATAAGTTCTCACTTACCAAAGCCTACTTCAAAAACACATTTATGCTTCAATTTTTTTCTTCATTAACATAATGAAATATTTCTTTCTTCCTGATTTTTTTCAACTCCCACCCCTTTCAGTGCCCAGCAATTCCATTTCCCATTTTTCTTTAACCTGCACTCTAAAATTTGGCTTTCTAGTAACAGGGAGCCAGCGATTGTCTTCTGCTCATCTTCTTTGATTAAAACTCCTGAAGAATAAGTGGGGTAACCATGGTTGTGTCCCTTACCATCAGTATACATGCTGGACAGCAGAGTCACTGCACCCTTTCCTTTGCTTGCTGGCCCCATCTGGGCTGGACAGAGAGGGAACTTTCCAGCACTTTCACACGCTTCCTTCACAAGTTAAACGGAAACACACACATTCAAATCCCAGTGCAATATCAGGCTTTCAGGAAGCAAGGCTTCCTTCAAAGATGATCAGTTTATGTTTCAAAAGAGTCTTGTACTTCATTATGGACGATGAAACCTAAAATACAAAATGGAAACTCTCTGAGTCTGTGATATAGAAGCATACACTGTATTCAGTGAACTGAATAAGGTACAGTAATGTTTATAATTAAAGGAAGTTTTAGACATTTCCCCAACTGTATTACTGTCATACAAAGTGCCTTTATAAATTACTGTTATAAATGTTATGCTGGAAAGCAGAGACACCTCCTCTACAAAAGATACTGGTTACCATCCAGGATATAGAGCAATCAATACACAAAACATCAGTATTCTTGAGGGTCAAACTCTGGACTGTACTGAGAAGAGATTGAGATGTTTCATAAAAATTTGGTTATATCTGGTTTGTAGTTATAAAAGGAAAACAGCAATAAATAGTCACTATTTGATTAGTTTCCACCTGTCACTGTCTTCCATTGAAGACCCAAATCTACTTTCTACACCTCAACTTCCAAATGCCTGCTGGGAATTTCCTTCTGAATGTTCCACAGGCAACATCCTAAGCATGTCCACAACTATGCAAATTACATTTTCTTGTAAACCTTCCTTTGCACTATCTTGTTAAATTTTCTACCTTTGAAAATATTTTTAGTCTAGAAGCCTCAAATTGGAACTCATTTCTCTCCTTTACTCTAGTTACTAATCCTGCCTTGATTGCCTATCTTAATTCAAGGAAGCCCTCTCACCACCTTTTGCCAGCACTATTTTAACAGTATGTTAGCTAGTTGGCTTCTTATCCTTTGGAGTTCCTGAACATTCCTTGCATCTTTGTAGCCCTTGTGTTTTTGAAATGCTGTTCGCTAATAGTGCAATCCCCTCCCTTCACTTTCCATTTGTTTTCATATTCAAGATCAAGACCAAAAGGCATCTTCTCCATAAAGCTTTATCTGATCCATCCCTTCAATCTACTTCTGTGATTTCACTTTTACACAACTCCAGTTAGCACTTCATTTGTCTTGTATAATTGAATGTTCATCTGCCCTAGTAAACCAGTCTCCTAGTTTGTTTCCTGGTCCCCGGCTCATCGATTTTGAGATCAAATATGGGCCACATGGTCACTAGCATTATCATCATAAATACTGATCCAGTCATTCCAATTCTTTGTTAATATCATTGTATTATACCTCATTCCCTAAAAAACAGCATTTAAATGTCTTAATAGTGGTGACTGAGGACTTTCAGGATGTGGCTCAACTATGTTTCTAGCTATAGCTCCATCACTACTTCCAAGATACCCTAAGTTCTAGTCATTTGCCCCAAAATGCTCTCTGCTTTTGTGCTCATGCTCTTCATCTTCTTTCCCTCATCTACCTCCTACAACCTCACTCTGAGTTCCACAAACACCCCTTTCTCCACCTCTCAGAGAGGCTTACTTGCTTTCTACCTGTGTTCCCATAAAACTTGGTCTATTGCAGTCATTTATCACAGCCTATAATCTTTGTATAGGTATGAGATCTTAGATTGTGAGACACTAAGGAAAGACCTGACTTAATCACTTTTGTATTCTGTAGAATACCATATCTGGGACATGGTACTTCTTAATAGATTTTGCTGTGTAGAATCAAATCATTTAAAAAATGAAAAATTAAAGATATAAGAACAGATGAAACAAGATCAGCCATAAATTGTAATTGGAGAAGCTGTGTGAGGGATGCATAGGGCTTGTTATATTACTTTTCCACGTTTGACTTTCCAAAAGTCAAAATAAAAATAAGATACACCAAGTTTTCCAAAACAAGCAAACATGTTGTGATGAAAATAGGAATGTGTCCACTTTGAGTTCAATTGTTAAGTCTACCCCTAACCATAACCTGGGACAGGCATGTGAATTTCCGTGCTCTACATTTGTTAAATGGAGATCATACTCCTGTTTCAGTCACCTCGGTCTTCTCTTTGCCCTGTGACCATGCAGAATTCTTTGCTACCTCAGGCCCTTGGTCCCTCCACATTAACTGACCACCACTGGGGGTAGAATGTTTTTCTTTCCCCTAACAGTGCTGATAGTTCCTTCTTGTCATTTAAATCACAGAGCAGCTTTTATTGCTTCAAGAGGCTCTTTTCCTGACCATCCTATCTGTATCCACCCTTGTCCCTCTCAGAGCATGCTGTTGTATTTTCTCCCTAGTACTTACCACAGGCTGAAATTATCATATTTATTTATTTGTTTATTTGCTAATGGTTTGTTTCCTTCACTAGAACATAACCACGTGAGAGCAAGCACCTAATCTGACATGGTCTAAATTCCCAGAGTCCAGAATGGAGCCTGGCTGACTCAATATGCTCAATAAATATTTGTTGGACGCACAAATAACTGAATACAGGGGTAGTTAGAAAGTAATTTGATAACTATTTCTATAATTCTTGTAACTGAAGAGTCCAATAATGAGACCCCTAAAATTGATTACAATTAAGTATTAATCTATGATACCCCATTTCATAGGACATTCCATCATGCTTTCTGGGCAGAGTTAAACATAACCTGAAGAAAAATATGGAAATCCTATAAAAAAAATTTCCAAAGAGAAATTGAAAACCTCTTAAACTTTTTACATGAAATGTGAGATGCAGACAATAATAATAATGATAGCTCATATTTACTAATGTTTACTATATGCCCAGCACAAGGCCAAGTGCTATACATATATTACCTAGTTTAATCCTCAAAATAATCCTATGGGTCTGATAGTCTTGTATCCCCTTAGTACAAATGTGGAAACTGAGGCACAGGGATGCTAAGTCATGTTCACAAGACAGATAGCTGATAAGTGAAAGTGCTTGGCTCTAGACTCTATTCCCAACCTACATTAGACTATGAGATCAAAACATGTCTTCGTCCATACTTTCATTGAAAGGCTTTTTTGGTGCCCTGTGCACAGAATGGAATGGAAAAGGCAATCTGTTGGATTTCCACATCCATCAGTTAGTTTTAATCAATTTTGACCAGAGAAAGTCCTGTTCCATGTGCCAGGCTGCACTTTTGACAGCTACAGTTGTCTCAAAAACATTTGTATTTGGCCACAAAGGGAACTCCATGAGAATGGGCTATGCACAAACTTTTTGTAATTACTCAAGAAGCAAGTCCAGTGATCAGCTTGGGGATTGAAAGGAGCAGCATTGCCTCCCTCGTTGCAAGAAACACAAGCCACTCTCTGTATCACAGTGAGGGAGGAGGAGCTCTGGGGGCCCTGAGAATACAGACAAATCTGCTGCACCTGAGGAATCTTCACACTATGACCTACCAAAGGTCCCTCTTTGTTAGGTTCAACTTTTCTAGGAATTAAATACAGACTCATCTAATTTAATAATTATTTTAGCCCTCTCCTGATTTGCTGGGTTTCATACACCAAACATTCTACAATGTCCTAATCTTTATTTGGTCCTGAATTCAAACATGTGGAGAGACATAACATGAGAGGTTTTTTTCTCTTCCCATTGGTAATGTCTTTGGGATGAAGAAGGTAAGTTAAAAATTGAGTTGCAAAACAAGGTGAGTAATCAGTGGACCAGAAAAGATTTAGAACTTTCTACAGCCCAGCATTTTCCTCAAAGTATCCTGCTTTTAATTTTCCAAAAATTAGCAGGATACTATCAGGCTTTTTGTTTTTTCTGCTGACACTATGTGCCCATGGATCCCTTAGAGAGTGAATTCCACAGTCAGAACTCAGTGGAAGGTCACAGGCCATCAGCATAGCTTCAAGGACTGGCTAAAACAAGAGGGTGACCAACTAACCAGCAGTGTGAATGCAATAATATGCTGACAAAGCTCGGAGTCAGAAATGAACCCTCTCTTCATATGGACTGCCCAGATCTGGCTAAAAATAAAACAAAAAAAAAACCCCTACATATTTTCTTGCACTATCCAATCAGGAAAGGACATTTATATCCTGCTTAAATTAAGCATCTTATCTTCAAATGTAGGTCTAAAATTTTATGGTTAGAGGTACAGGAAATGCAAATTGCTCTTAAATTTGTTGCTACTCAGTGGTTTGCACTCATTTTGAAATATGAGAAGTTCAGCTTTATCTCCTGAGAAGTCTGCCTATCTGACAGAATGACAGTTTTGGCTTGAGGCTTCAAGCTGATGGAGCAATAGTTGTACTGCGCCCTAAGGATACTTAAACTTTCTGTCCACCCTTTTCCCAGATCTTTCCTGAAACTTAAATTTGAAGTTATATATATTTTCTTCTTCTTTTTAAAATTGTAACATATTTTTCTCATTGTCATACTGTTGAGAGAAAGTGAATAGGGGGACAAGCTATTTTTAAGTCATGGAATTCAGGGAAGATAATCTTTGTCTATAAGATGGTTCCTCCACAAATTAATATATATAAGTTTACTCACCTTTCTGTAAATTCATTCAGATAATATAAAACATAAAATTAGTCACAAATGTACAATACTATTTTCTTCTTTGATATATACAGAAATCCTGAAACACTCATTTCTGCCTTACCTAAAAGGGTTTCATTGATACAGGCATACATACTTATGTTAAACAAATGAGGAGCTTCTCCTAAACCACAGCTCCATGTCCCACCTGAGAAGCCAGACCTCATGCAGAACAGGCTTTTATTATTTCAAATATGAGCCATGCTTTCACCTCTGATGGTTAAAGTGGCATTTTTCAACTTTTTAAAGTTTCTGTCCAGGTAGCAAATGCTCTGTTACTTGCTACCTGAAAGAAAATATGACTGTGGAAACAGCCTTCTCATTTCTCTGTGGAGGACCTCTTAACTAATTTTTATTATGGTCCCTTGTGTAGTTACTGCCATGTCACACTTTGGTACCTAAAAGCTGAAAGAGTGGTTTACTTTTATCTGCAAATCCACATAGAATAGTAGTAACTCAAGATGGCACAAAATGAGACAAATTGCTTTACACACACACACACACACACACACACACACACACACACACACACACACACACACACACCTGAACATAACCACATTAAGAAAATTTTAAAAGTAGGGAAAACTCTATAGCACCACATTATAACAAATCATTAAGAGTTTTTTA